CAAATCCTCGTGGTCAGAACTTAGTCACATGACCATACTAAGCTGAGAGAGAGGCTGGACATGTGGTAGGCAGCTGCACGGCGGGGTTCTATAATCAAGAAAGGGGAGAATGGGTGTCAGTAGATTTCCAGCAGCTCATTAGTCAGGATAAAGGGAAAGCACCGTTCTTTCAGACGGCCACCTTCGCAGCCTCACTACGGAGAAGCACCCTGTACCTGCAGTCGTCTTCCCCTTCCCCGCTGTCATGACCGGGTCTACACAAATCCAGGTCACGGAAGTTTATGTAAAGACAGGCAACCGAGGATGTTTATTATTTTTTTAAGTTTTATTTTTTAAAGTGTATTTTATTGATTATGCTATTACAGTTGTCCCATTTTTTTTTCTTCCCTTTATTCCACTCCACTCTTCACTCCCCTCTCCCACCAGCATCCACCCCTCCTTAGTTCATGTCCAAGGGTCATACATGCAAGTTCTTCGGCTTCTCCATTTCCTATACTATTCATAACCCCCCGTCTAGTTTGCACCTACCATTTATGCTTCTTAATCCCTGTATCTCCCTATTTCCCCCTCCCCCTCTGCTGATAACCCTCCATGTGATCTCCATTTCTGTGACTCTGTTCCTGTTCTAGTTGTTTGCTTAGTTTGCTGTTTTTTGGTCCAGTTGTTGATAGTTGTGAGCTTGTTGTTATTCTACTGTTCATAGTGTTTTCTCTTATTTTCCTTAGAAAAGCCCTTTTAACATTTCATATAATAAGGGCTTGGTAATGATGAACTACTTTAACATGACCTTATCTGGGAAGCACTTTATCTGCCCTTCCATTCTAAATAAGTTTTCAATTTCTTGCTCTTCCTCTTCTCCTTCTGGCACCCCATATGATTCGGATATTGGAATGTTTAAAAGTTGTTCCAGAGGTTCCTCAGCCTCTCCTCATTTCTTTGAACTCATTTCTTCATTCTGTTCTGGTTGGATGTTTATTTCTTCCTTTTGTTCCAAATCATTAGATCTGAGTACGGGTTTCATTCCCTTCACTGTTGGTTCCCTGTTTATTTTCCTTTATTTCACTTTGTGTAGCTTTCATTTCTTCCTTCATTTTGTGATCATACTCAACCATTTCTGTGAGCATCCTGATTACTAGTGTTTTGAACTCTGCATCTGATAGGTTGGCTATCTCATCACTTAGTTCTTTTTCTGGAGCTTTGATCTGTTCTCTCATTTGGACCATATTTGTCTTGGCACACCTACTATATAGTGAGAGGCAAAGCCTTAGGTATTCGCCAGGGTGGAGCAACCCACTTCACTGCCTTCTGGTGCTGTATGTGGGGGAGGAGTTCGAGAGGGAACAATGCCACTTGGTCGGCTCTTGCCTCACTTTCCATCACTTCTCTCACTCCCCACAAGCAGACTCTGCCCTTTTAGGTGCTGTTTCCGAGGTGGGTGGGCTTGCGTACATTCTAGGACCCCATGGGTCTCCCCAGTAGACTCTGCTGTGAGGCTGGGAATTTCTCCTGCCACAACCCCCAAAGGCTTTTACAGCCAGAGGTTTTGAGGCTTAAGGTTCCTGAGCTGGAATCCCGGGTTGCATGGTTTGTCCCACTCCCCAGCTGACCCTCCCCACTTACCTGAACACGAATGTGGGACGGCCTGGTCTGCCAGCCACTGCCTCACTGCGCATCCTCTCCACCCTGGCTTCCCACCTCCGCCCCTCCTACCAGGCTGAATGAATGTTTCTCCTTTAACTCCTTGGTTGAAAGACCTCCATACAGGTCAGTTTTCTGGCAATTCTGGTTGTGTTTTGTTTTTAAATTTGTTGTTATCTTTCTTTTGCTTGTGGGAGGAAGTGAAGTGTTATCTACCTCTGCCTCCATCTTGGCCAGAACCAAGATGTTATTATTAATTGATCTTAACTAATGGTGGGATAGCCCAAACCCCCGTGCTTTTCAGCAGAACTCGTCTTCTAGGCTGAAGCACAAACACAGATCACTATGTTGCACCTCAAAGGCACTGCGTGTGGGGCCCTGCCCCCGAACGCCTGTCCTTCACTCCCAGCAGTCGGGGAGGACAGCGCGGGACCTAGACCAGGGCGCTGAAATCAGACACCAAGCTCTTTAACACTGCCATCCCTGTAAACGAGATAATAAAAAGTACACTTTTTTAGTTATTTTCTTTTGTCAAATACATCACAGAAACTGTGTCCTTTTTCTGGCAAAATGCTAGTCACTTATTTTGTTCGGGTCTCTAAGCAATGATTCCAGGAACCTGGTAACTTTGGGGCAAAGGTCCAAAAGTTCAACGAGAAAGTGATATGAATGTTCTAATTTGAATTTTGCCCTGTCTTCTCTTGTGAGGAGTGTAACAGAGATCTAATGGTTAAAGTGCTGAGCTCGAATCCATTCAACAAAGAATTCTCATTCCTCCAACAAATACTGGAGTGCTTACAAAGTATCAAGAGCTGCTCTAGCACCAGGAACACATGTCTGGTCTCATAAAGCTCAAATTCCCCTGAGACAGGACAGTCTATATATAAAGAGTAAAGAAACACAATACATATAAGGTTAGACGACACTAAATGTTTTAAAGAATGAAAAACATTTTTTTCTTTCTCCTTAATGTCCAAGGTTTCTCCTCCTCTCTTTTTGAAAGCCCTCCTAGACTGATCCCAATTGGCTTTTGTTGGTCACTTCAATAATCTCATTAAAAGATCTGGATTGATAGGCTTGATGTTATACATTTTAGAAAGATCTGCCATTCAACCAAATAGAGAGCAAAGAGAGGACGATGCTTTTGGGGGTATATATTGTAGAAGTTAAGAAACACTTTAGAACCAAACAAATTTCTCTGAGAACCCTTTCAAAAGAGGAGCTATACCTCCACATATCATCAGCTACACCTTTGTCAAAGAAAGGGAAGGGTCCGTGTAGAATGGTTCCCAGAACAGGCGAGAAGGGTACACACATACAAGTGCGGAGGTTAGCTAGTTTGTAGTCTTCTGTACTGAAAGTGTCTGTGTGTACCTCAGGCGAGAGTATTTAGAATGAAGTAACAGATGAGGTTTTTATTGGGTGGGGGAAGAGGTAGAGAGTAAGACAAAGCATAAGGAAGCGTTCGAAGCCATCCTCAAACTCCAGAAAACTGCCTAGGAAATGCCTCTCAGGACCTACACACACCCACCCGACAGAGTACAGACGGTAAGAGTGCTGACCACTGGCCTGAGTCCCTCTCCCACTCCCCACCCAACACTTTAAGGTGGAGACAGCCAAGCAGGCTGCCACCACCTCTCCTTTGTATTTTCCCTAGAGCACAGGTGGCAAACATAAGGCCCGTGCCACCTTGTTTATCTGGCCCAGCACCTTGTTTCTGCCCAGCGGCATGGCCAACCTCCTTGCCCCTAGTTAAGGAGTAGTTACATCTATACAGTCCTAAAGTTACATCCACCTCAAAGTTATCTTTGAAGGTAACCTCAAGGCTGATGTGGCCCCCAGTGAAAATGAGTTTGACACCCCTGCCCTATAGCTTCATTCCCTTCTTTAACGTACAACCACAAAAAGTGATTTAGATCAAAAGAACACCGGATTTTCCCCCCACAAAAGTCAGTTTATTAAAGATAGGCTTACACATTCAGCAACAACCATGAAAACACAGTACAATGTTAAATAGGGGGAATTTAAAAATCCTTCCTTCTTTGAACCATATGTACTCCAGAGGTCTGAAGAAGTACTTCTGTAAGCTTGCCCTGGCCTGCTGACGCCGCTGTCTATACGGCGTGAGCTGCACCAAAACTGCTGTCATGGAAGCGCTTCGCCCATCCAGCCTCGTGTGTAAAACTGGAGCAGAGGTCACAGCTGATCCCCTCCTCACCCAGTGATTTGGCTACAGCAATTTGAAAATTACTTTAAGTCTGAGAGAAACCCAACACCTCCCACTGTTCACTAAAACCTGTTGCCAGGAGAAATGTTTTTAATATGCTTCTAAAACAGCAAGTGAAGTTGGTACTAAGCACCTCACTAAATAAATGCCTTATTCTTGAAATAAAAGGGCATAGGAAGGAATGGACCTGAAGAAATGGATTCCTTTGATGAAGTTTTTCTCTAAGAAGAAGAATAAGAGCTTTTATATTTATTATTTTGATTTAAAATATTTGGTTTGGGTTCTCCTACTTTTGGGGGATGGGGGGCATGGATCTTCACCATCCCTTCCTAAGTAGGGTGAGTCTGCATCTCTAGTATACACTACATAGACGTGGTAAAAATGTGCACTTGGGGGGGATGGTAAAGCTAATTCAAAAATTTTAAAGGAAAAAATAAAAACGAAGCTAATTCACAACGTGAATAATCAAGGGTTGATCCTCTAAAGTCAAGCAGCATCAGAAATTCCCCTGAATCAAAGAAGTAAAATAATAATAAGAGTAAGAGTTCTAATATGCCAGGCACTGATCTTAATACTTTTCTGTATTGCTTGATTTAATCTTCCCCAAATCCTGCAAAGTAGGCAAACATTTACCTTACACATCAGGAAACTGAGGCACAGAGCGGTGAAGCACACAGCTAAGGGCACAGAGCTCAGAAAGCCATGAAGCCCAGGATTCAAATGCAGACAGGCAGCCTCCAGGGCCAGCTCTGCTGAGAGCTGTTCTGTCTCCCAACCACAGTCAAGGCCTCTCACTTACAGATGGATCTAGAGAAGGGAAATTAGTGGGGAAACTAAAAAAAAAAAAAAAAACAGACTCTAGATCCCAATCATTTTTCAAAACAAAACAAAGCTAGCAAAGAAAAACACATCAACTCTCTTACAAACAGAAGGGGAAAATATTGATCATTCTGAACAAACCTCATGCTGAGTGGAAAGGCGCGATGCTTCCGTTTGCTGTCGCCAGTGCACAAACACGGGCACCGCAGCCGGTCGGAGCGCCGGTCCCTTCTCCTTCTGTAACTACCCTCAGTGAGGCAAGTCAAGTCAAAACAAAGCAAAAAAGGAAAAAAGAAAAAAGAAACCTACACACACATTAAGCAGGTTTTGAGGTTTATTAAAATGAAGTATTAGCAAACAATATGCAAAAACGAAGTTCTTAAGAGTTATGGCTTCGAAAAGCACAATATAGTAAAACCTAATACATTTTTATAAGTATCAAAAAGATAACAGAATGGAAGCATGTTGCTAGAATTTTACTTTCTACAACATAAACAGAAGCAGAACAAGTACAAATAAGAAGCAGGCCTACAGTGCAGCCGTTGGTTTGGTCTTTATCATCTGCACATGACATCTCTCCTCCAACAGGACACGGGTAGGTACACATAAACCAGTTTTCATTACAATCTCATCCAATTTTAAAATAAGTGGTTTTCAAAATGCAACTTCACAAGGTCAAGAAGAAAACCACTTGCCCAACTATTATCTTTGAGAGTCCCTGCAGTTTGTGAATGAATGAAAGCCACATCACCTGTGACTGAAAAGCTGCCTCTCAAAGATTTCTTCTTTCATAAAGAACGTGAGCTGCTGGGCCTCAATGGAATCTGGTTACCACTAACACCAGCCAGTATTAAGAAGGCACTACCTAATAATGGGGGAAAAAAATCCACCTGTACACAAACTTCTGAACTTTTAAAAACAGTATCTTCAAATAAAACCTTACAGGGCAATAGTATGATGATTTTAAGAACTTGAAGAACAGAATGATTTAGACAAGTGCCATGCACACCTTCTCCATTCTGCCATGAACAACAGAAAAATCCTTCCCTGACGGGGTCTTCTCAACAAAACGACCCATCACTGGTGTTACAGTCATTGCAATCAGCAAGTATGATAAGCTCTTACCTTTAAAAAATTTAGTATATAAAATCCCTCTCGTGGGTTTTTGTGAACCATCCAATTTTCAGGTAACACTTCAATTGTAACATAGTTGTATCTTAGAAAATAAGTTTCTATTATGAATAATCCAATAGAACAAAGGCTTGATAAATACTGTTACCTCTTGTCATCAGGACATGCTGAACCTCAACTGCAATCTAGTGAATTCCAAAGAACTGTCCAAGTTTCTGTGCAGCAGGTAAGATTGTTTATGTAGAAGTAATGCCTTAACACTCACTTTCCAGAAAACCTCCCCCAAATCCTACCTGCATCAAGGAGGAAAATGCTGCCGTTCTGGGGAAAAACAGGCATCAAACCTGAGATTACCCCCCAAAAGCTACCCTAGTTCGTATCTGAGGAGACCACCCACAAACCAGTGCTTAGGAAAAGTCGCTCCCTTAAAAATCACCAAACACTTCTACACCACCGGACTCTCTACTGCTTTGAAAGACCCGTGCTTATCTGGCTGACAAGCACAAGGAGGAAACCCATTCTATTCTCACCCAGCAGGTGAATGAGGCTTTGACTAAGAAGACAAAGACGGGCTCTGACTCTCAGTTTAACAGGTACGAACTGTGCCATCGATAATTATTGAAAGATTCTTCCTTCTTCAGGGAACGCAGAAGGTATTAATATATTTTAGGTGGGAAAGTGATAATGATTCAAAGTAATATTAAGCACACAACTAGAAAAAGTATGAAGAAGTGGATCTAAACTGGTATAGGAGATGCTCTACAACAGAAGCACAGCACTCACACAGGTTCTACTCAACTGTTCAGGGCCTCTCTGCTACTGAGAGGATTTGATTCCTTCTATAAGCTTTCTCCTTCAGCAGAACACTCTTACAGGGGAACCATTTCCCACAGGTACCCTCAGATACAGAGGGTTTTATACAATGTGAGCCCCAGTTCTTGTCTTGACAAAATTCATTTCAGATCTGAATACCAGTCATTTTACACCTGAAAAGGATGCCTTACACTCAGATGTGCGGAAAGCACTCGGCCACGCCCTCTTTCTGCGCTGCTGGGTGTAGCGCAGTGAACCACCCAGTGATCCCACGGTGGGTTTCACCGGGGAGACCAGCCAACTCTGTTATCATAGGCTTCTTACACAACAATGATGAAATGGGAAAGATTATTCACATTCTGATGTATACATTTGACATTTTGGTTGGTGTCTTCCTTAAATTTTCTCTAAAGAAGAAATGTTGGCCTCAGCAGACCAATAGCATATCTACTAGTTTTCATTTCACAACTTAAGTCAGGCAATACCAACCACACCATAATACCTATTATGTAGCAACGTGAGTCAAAGGCACCTCTTACATTGTATTCTCCCCCCAATTAACATATTTTGTTGCATTAATTCACTACTGAGATTAATTTTGATTCTATTCTTCCTTTTGCAGCTACCAAACTGGTGGTAGCTTTAGTATTCCCACACCATCCTTTCAACAGGCATATGTTAATATGTTGTACATGCTGTAAAATGTGATCATTTCAATGGTATCGATGTTTAATAAACATTCTAGAGAGTAAATAAAAACCTGAAACTGTAATTTGCTGAAGTGGTTTCTTTCAGAGGCATTTCCTTTTCATTGGTCAGAATTTTACTTAGTTTTTAAAAACCCTCCTGGCAATTTTGACGCCCTACCCATGGCTATCGGACATCCTCGGGAATCAGAGGAGCAGCCAGATAAAGCCTCCATTTAAAACCCAGGGGTGTGGAATTGAGAACTTCTGGGAAATGCAATAGGCTTACACCTCTCCGTGAAATTCTGAACAGTCAGAGGCATAAGTGCTGTCACTCACAAGACACAGCACCCTAGGAAAAACGAAGAAAAGGCCGATCACATAAAGCCCTCCGAATTCCAAAAGCTATGAAATGAATAAAAACAATTTTGAATGAACTCAACTGACAGTATCAATGAAACACTAGTTTCCCTCTCTTCAAACCCACTGAAGTTGACTACATACACCTGCTATTCAGCCTGGGTGGTTTTGTGCTACAAACTGTTCCGAAGTCGTGCCATGAGTCAGGTAAGTTAAAAAAAAAAAGGAAGCAGAAACTGTTCTGCCACTGAGCAAACATACTCTTCCGCATGGCCGACACAGCTCTGGAAGACTGAGGAAGTGTGGCGTGTGAAACTGTGGCTAAGGCTCAGATGACTGCCATAAAGAACTGTCACCAGGCAAAGGACAGTGAGCGGAGGCCCACGTGGCAGGCACTTCATCTTAAAGAATAAAATCACCTCCTGGCTGCACTTTGTAAAAGCAATAAATAATGTCACAGAGAGAGAAAAAAAGAAACACATTCTCCTTTCCTCAAAAAATGTACTTACTTCCTCATAAAAGCAGAAAGGGCAAGGCAGAAAGTCAAACCAAACCAACATTTTACACACAAGACTGCCATGGCCCTCAATACTTATGAAAGGCACCGGAAAGTAAGCTTCTTCTGATAGGTAAGTTAGGTCACTTTTCTCAAAATAATGCCTTTGTTCTCATGCTGTAACTAAGAGTTTAACTGACAGCTCCCTGGAAGAAGGGGTTAAGAGTCTTTGACCCAAAGCCTTTAAGCACGATTGATGAAATGGCCATTTTAGAGTTTCCAAGTCTTTCCTTTCTGAGGATAGTGTTCTGGGTGACTCGCACTCACATAGGAACTTAAAAAAAAAGAAAGAAAGGGAAAAGAATAAAGAGCACTCAAGAGCATGCAAGGTAACTGTCAGAACAGTCTGTATTCTTTGATACATGAATATTTTGAAACCAGCTCTGTTGGCGACCACTCCCAATTCCTTTAAGTATGAGACCAGGAGCCTCGTCCTCGAGGCCGGATGGGAAAGGCTCCTCCTATGGCTTACAGTACACAGGTCCCTGCATGGGTAGACTGATGCAGTAAGAGCAATGAATTCAGTACATGATTTTCCAACATTAATAACGTCCATAAAACTGGAATTAAAAAGGCACCTTAAGTTGGAGCTAAAGATTAACAGTATTATAATCTAGGCTGAAAATACAACAAAAGCTAGAAAAAGCGTAAATTCCTACAACTGTCACCTATAAATTGCAGTGTTTGTCCATATAAAAGGGGAACCAGGGAAGTAAGGATGAGCATCTAAGTACAAATCACTTAAGTGTGTTTCACAGAAGGTTACACTAAAAACTGTCGCCCATCAAAGTGCAAATAAAAGGTTAATGCATGTCAAAATTAGAGTTCTCGCAACGCGAGCCGAGAGCCGCAAACACAGCTGAACACGGCCATGCACGCGCTGCCATTAGCTATAAAGTAGTGCTTCAGACAGGTTCTGAGTAAATGACACATACCGGAGATCTGTTGCTGGCAATCATTTTTTAAAAAGGAAAATGTTATACAAAAGATATATTGAGTGAAGTCACAATACACGGATGAACATTTAGCTGTACTAAATGTAAATTTTACGATGTCATCTAGAAAACTATCACTTTGCTTTTACCGAACACTACTTGTTAGAGCAGTGCATAGTGTTCCTCACACAGAAGATTTTTTATAGTTTCTTTAAGTCCCCACCATATGCTTCTACAGAACAATGAACTAGGCTTTTTAGAAGCTGGTAGGACAAAGAAACTGGAAAATGTACAACTGCTTGAGTATCAAGAGTCGAAGGGAAGACTTTTCACTGCATACCCTCTTACACTACCATCATTTTTCATCATGTGTTGTTCTACATTTTTTAAAAAAGTTGAACAAATTAAAAAAAATTGTTGGGACAATAAGGCAAATGCATGTTCCAGTTTAAGATTAATGCCAAACCTCGGAACTGGGGCACAAGAATTTCTCTGCATCTTTCACAACACTTTTTGAGAGTTAATCACATGAACACTAATACAAACAAATGTAGATTCGTCACAAAATACAAATGTATTGGTCACAATTATATAAAAAAAATAAGATGTTTTCCATGTAAGCTCACAGTATCTGCATTGAAAGTTTCCCTAAAATTAAAACAAGTCCACTAGTGATACCATTGAAAAGAATACTTTCCGCACTATGAAACAGAAGAGATGGGATTCAGAGGGGAGCCCATCTGAGTGAGGACCTTATCCAGCCACTGAAGAGGCCCGTGAAGGTGAATCTCAATCCAGCACGGGGTGCTGGTAACGTCCTGCCGGTGGTACTCTGCTCCCCAGCCCTGGGAAATGAACAGACATCACAGTGAGCACCTCTTTAAAAGTGTCAACCAGCTGAAACCAACTTTCACACATTGACAAAAAGATACGTTACAGCAGACATATGCAGAATGTACTTAAACAGAGATCACAAAACCAACCTTAGCATTCGCCATGGAGTTAAAAGTAACACAATAGCTGCATCATTGAAAGATGATTTTTTAATAACGTAAAATTCCCTTAATAGAAACTGTTGGAGCAAGATGTTTCAGATTTTTCTTTTTAAATTTTATAAAGTTAGTAAGTTCTAAATCTCATAATTTAAAAATTAATATTTCTGCAGTGAAATACATTCTTACTTAATTGGATAAATAAAACCTATAAATAGCATCATGGTAAGTTCATACCAGATTTTTTTGCCAACTTCTTTTTGTTTCCAGGTTTTTGGTATCTTTTTTTAAATAAAAGATTAGGCACTGCATATCTGATCAATGCATGTAAGTGCAATTTAAGTGGCAATCACATATCAATTATCCTTTAAAACAGGAGATTACAGGGTTGAATTGAGCTAGAACACTTTATCCTAAAACTCCAGAAAAAAAGTCAAAGCTTTTTTCATTCTTATTTGCCTGGAGTTATCAACTCTCTGTTTTACTGCTTCCAGTAGTCCTGGGCCAGAAAAATTAGGCTGGGGAGCTGGAAGGGGAGGGGGGAGCGGGGGAGGGGAGGGAGAAAAGATTAAATACACAAAAGTCATGTTTCTACAGGAGACTACCGAGACAAACCGATGTTGGTGATCAGTCTACGCTACGCCAGGCAGCACGGAGGCACTGGGCTGCGGGACTGGACGCCAAAGGAGACACCGAGCAGAGCATCTGACAGCTGCTCTTCCTGGGCTAAATCCCTAAGGGCCCAGTGGGTCCAGTCCAGGTTGCTTAAATGTATCACTAAAATTCCTTCCACATTTTGCTCATGAACCATCATCTTTGGAACACCAATAAAATCTGGCCAACAGTAAATGATAATTCTGAAAAGTTCTTTAAACTTTGCAAACAATTTCAGTGTCCTAAAGGACCCTTCAAGCCACTCTAACAACGGAGTCCGATGGTGAGTAATACCGCTGAAGCTAAGGGACTAGAGGGGGTTTAACAGTGAACACTCTCTAGCAATTTAGTCTTCGCCTTAAATTCTCTGTAAGCCCAGCCCCTGTTCAGCATCAACACCAGTGTTGTACCTTTAATAATGTCTGCTTTACAAAATAAAACCTCAGACCTACCATGCAGTTAAAGTTACAGAGTCAAGAATTTCATTTAAAAACCTATTAAATCAGGTTAAAAGTAATCACCACCTTTCATTTAATAATGGCTTTATAAAATTATATCCTACAGGCATATAATATACACATTTATGGTGACTCAAATTAAGCTACAGGTCTCAACCTACTGACCTTAACAAAACTCATTCGGATGGTACACATTTTGGTGAGCTCGTACACTGCCTCAAACCCATGGTTGACAGACTGAGCCAGGAGCTGCGCAAATTCTTGATTGTTGAAAATTTTGAGGCTGCAGCTGCTGGGAATCTTACAGACAGTGGTAGGATGAAAGCCGTGATGGAAGTTGCAGTTCCTGCTCTGCACGAATATGCTGCTGTCACTGAGACACTCCGCATACACCTCGCCGCCAACGTAGTACAGGTGAACCCCTGAGAAAGACAGGCATCACCGGAGTCAACAACGCATCACAATAAAGCCACAGGGGCTGCATGAGGTACAACCGAGAACAGCCATGAACCTACAGCCAATGCCCCACAGGCCTTCAACAGAAGGTACCACTAGGTGGCCTTACGCTGCCAAAGACAATAAAGGATTAATGTCCACCTAAATCCAAAACTGTCCTCAAGTAACCAGGACTTAAGACTCAAGTTGGTAGCTTATTAGGCTACAAGTTCTTGGGGTTTTCCCCTTTTTCAACAACCATCATTTATCACCTCTATGAGAGAAACAATGGCAAAAAAGCAACTGCCTTATGATGAGCCCTCTCAAAGGAATGCTTGGTTACCAACCAACCACATAGTCATTTGGCACCAAGTTTTGTGCTTCTTTTGCGAATGGAGGGAAGAGCAACATTAAAAACATCCTAAGGAACATGTGTAAAGTTAGGTCACAAAAGGAGCCTTTAAATGGCAGGTTTACTTTCCTTTCCTTTAAAAAAAGTGTTTTTGGTATTTAAAATATACATATATATAAATATGAATATAGTTAAATAGTAAAAATTCAAATTACATATCTGAAGCTGAGTTGCTCCTGACTTTCTACTACTGCAAAGAGTGCTAAAAGACTGTCCTCGTCCACACACACCTCTGCGCACGTGTGAGTCACAGACATGTATGCGGCTGTGACATTAACATCTTTTTTGTTTCTGAGCAAATAAAAATGGCCCATGGAAGAAAGGGTCCTAACACTACACACACTGATTCTACAAGTCAAGAATTCACCAAGGAAATTCCTTCTGAAATATTCTACTGGAGTAAGAAAATCAATGCATAGAAGTGAGGCACTCCACTCAAAGTGGATTTCCTACCTGTAAACCTTCAACATCATGGAAATTCCTACATATCATCTTACCCCAAAACACTCCATAAATATCATAACTATAAAATGCTAATCCTTCCAACAGCATTCAAATATTCCACAAGTATTTGTTGTGTATTTACTATGAATCAGGCAGTTGTAGCTGCTGAAGATGTTCTAAATACAGCAAATTTCTGTAAAGTTCATATTCCAATCAGAAAGATACTAAAACAATACATATAGGTAATTTGCTTTCAGGTCCTAAGTACCATGAAAAATAAGGAAGCAGGTAAGGGAAAGAGAGCTGAGTATGTCTTTACTTCACACTGGAGCTTGAGGGCAGAGACTACACCCCAGGCTTTGTACGCTCCAGCACCTCACACAGTGGATGGTCCACGGCAAGCACAGCAAAGACAGAATTCAAGTGAAGGTAGAGAAATGACAAAATTACCTTTTCCAATATGTCGCCTAGTGTTTTCAATTGTCGAATTACGGTTAACATTTGACAACAACCCCAAGCAGAATCTACTCTTGTTATTTGAAGGGTCTGTGAATCCATCTACTAACACACTGGTAGAAGACGCATGGAAAGCTTCCCCAACACGATTGTTTAATTCATAGTAAACAATTGAACACCAGTGTTTGGGCTCTTCGTAGGCAACAGGCTGAACATCTGTGAACAAACCAAACAGAAAAAAAGTTTAAAACATAATTATCAGAAACTCCAGATTCTCTATGTGTTTCCCTTGAACCCAACTATATGAAAAAGAAAATATGCAGATATTTCACTTAGTCTCATTGTCCTTCCTAGCTGTGAGTCTGTATCCGAAATACATACTCCAAAATGCTGTGAATCTGATGATTTTTAAAAGTATACAAGTACAAAGATAGGCAACATCACATTCTAAATTGTTTTTCCAGCAGAATCTAATCCAGGTTTAATGTTTGAGATGACAAACCTGTTTCAGCATCCTAAAAGACTTAACTATACCAAGTACCTATAAAATTATACTAAACAAAACTATGAACTAAAAACTCAGTGAGATTCTCGGCAACAGACCCTCCAGAATAGAGGGGAACTTTTTCAACTTGATACAAGAACATTTACAAAAAAGCCTATAGCTAATATCACTTAATAGTGAAAAACTAGATTCCCTGCTAAGACACCAGTAGTAACAAGGTAAGAATGTTCTTACTACTCCATTTCAACACTGTACTGAAGTTCTAGCTAATGCACTAAGGCCAAAAAAAAAAAAAGGAAGTAAAAAGTACACAGATTGGAAAAGAAGAAATAAAACTGTCTTTTTTTCCCCCCACAAATGACATGACTGTCTACATAGAAAATCTGAAAAAAACTGACAAAAACAAACAAACAAACCCTCCTGGAATTAACAAGCAATTATAGCAAGGTTAATATACAAAAGTCAAATCACTTTCCTATATACCAGCAATGAACAAGTGAAATTTGACATTGAAAACTCATTACCATTTACACTGGCATTCAAAAATGAAATACTTAGGGAAAAATCAAACAAAAATAGATAAAAGATCTTTGAGAAAGCTATAATACTCTAATGAAAGAAATCAAAGAACGATAAATAGCTATTCCATATTCTTGAAGCTTCAATATTATTGAAGATGTCAGTTCTTCTCAACATGATCTATTGATTCAATGCAATCCCAACCAAAACCCCAGCAAATCATTTTGTGAATATCAAGAAAGTGATCCTCAAGTTTATACGGAGAGGCAAAAGACCCAGAATTGCAAACACAATCCTGAATAACACAATCAGAAAACTGACACTACCCAATTTTAAGACTACTATAAAGCTACAGCAATTGAGACTGAGTGGTACTGACAAAAGAATAAACAAACCGATCAAAAAACAGAAGAGAAAATCCAGAAACAAACCTACATAAATATAATTAACTGATCTCTGATGAAAGAGTGTTACAGGGTGCAGCCAAGAGGGGGGACCCCAAATAGGCATTTGAAATGGGGTCCAGAACTCAAGGTGTCCAGGAGATTTTAAGGTGTCTCCACCCCTTCCCCCACAGGTGTGAGTTGGGGGAAGGGGCACACAGAGCAAGAACATGCAGGGCAGCTTTGCACCTAATCCATGGCATGGTCATTTAACATACCTATAGCCTTTGGCTGGTCACATATGCTAAATAGCTATGGCCATGCTCTAGGCCAGGGGGATGGAAAGGGACCTCTCCCCAAGATGTGACTGGGGGGGCAGGTCCCCCGAGTTACAGCGCCTGCATGGGAGCTCGGAGAAGATTGGCTCCATTACATGGGGTCACACCTGCCCAGACCCACGATGGCAACCAGAAAAGCTGGAGAAGACAGCAGATTGAGGGCAAGTGTGGCCGAGTGTAGGAGGAGTCGGAAATGGGGCTGCAGAGGAAGATTGGCGCGGGGATTTAAATCCAGACACGGCAGCCATTGAGAGAGAACCACGTGGCCTTGACAGAGTGGAGACTCCCGCAGCCCCGAGAGAGAGAACCATGCGGTTTTGGCTGAGTGGGGACTCCTGTGGCCCTGGGAGAGAGGACCACGGTGCCTTTGCCAGAGTGGGGACCACCCCCCGCAGCTTTAGAAGGGGGAACCACCACCTAGTTTTAGCAGAGATCCTGGCGACTCAGCTGAGGGTGCCGGGAACCCAGGGAGGTCTCCCAGTCGAGATGGAGTACTAACTGGGAAGAACCAGAGGACTGCCTGAGCCATGGACTTCTATTTCCTTTCCTGAGGTACGGTACTCTGGACTGGGCAAAGGGGGAAGGAAGGAAGGACTGTGTCTGTTTATGGGTGTTTTAAGGGACTTTAGGATTTTTGATAAAGACATTAGGTCAATACTTGAGGTTTGTATAGCATTAAATAAACATTTCCTTTCTTTATCACGAATCTCTGGCATTGAGAGACGTCTTTCCTCGGGCGGCGGACATAACGGACCTGGGGGCTTCTTTCAATAATAGTATATCGTCCCAGGCACCCCCCCCCTTATTTGTTCTGTAACAAGAGCAAGGGCAATAATGGAGAAAAGATAGTCTTTTAATCAAATAATTTAAGAACTGACATTTACATGCAAAAAAAGTACTCAAGGCACAGACCTTACACCCATCACCAAAATTACCTCAAAATTGTTCACAGACCTAAATGTAAAAAGCGAACTGTAAGACTTCTAGAAGATAGCATAGGAGAAAATCTAGATGACCTTGAACAAGGTGATGAATTTTTAGATAACACCAAGACATGATCTATGACAGAAATAATCAGTAAGCTGGACTTCATTGAAGCTAAAAACCTCTGCTATGCAAAAGACACTGTCAAGGGAATAAAACAAGTCACGGACTGGGAGAAAATATTTGCAAAAGACCTATCTGATAAAGAACTGTTATTCAAAATATACAAAGAACTCTTAAAACTCAACAATAAAATGATCACCCCAATTAAAAAATAGGTCAAAGACACAAATAGACACCTCACCAAAGAAGTTATATACATGGCAAATAAACATATCAAAAGATGCTCCAGGACTTCCGCTCAAGATGGCAGCACAGGTAAACACAGCTCACCAAGCACAACCACATCAAAATGACAACTAAAATATACAACCACCATCACTCAGAACCGTCAGAAATTGAGTTCAATGGAAGTCTCACAACTACGGAACTAAAGAAACCACATCCATCCAGACTGGTAGTAGGGGCCCAAACACAGAATAGGCTGGTCCCACATCCATGTGTGGTGGATAAAAATTTGGGAGGGGTATCTCAGGATCGAGGAGTCCCAGGCCCACATCAGGCCCCCCAGAGCAGGGTCCCCGTGCCAGGAAGATAAGCCCCCGTAACTCCTGGCTGCAAAAACCAGTGGAGATTAAGTGGGTAGAAGAAACTTCTAGAGTCTCAAGCAGTTCCCCTTACGGAATGCACACACGGGACTTAATCAGACTCAGTCCCTCTGAGCTCCAGGACCAGGAGAGCAGCTTGAAAGGCACCAGAAGCATACAGGGAGAAAGTGAAGTGTCTGACATCAAAGTGAGAACTCAGGGACAGTTTTCTCTCAGACAAAAAGGCAGGTCATTGTCCCTTTTCTGAACCCTCCCCCTACAAAGCCAGGAGCCTGGTGTCATATCCAAGAGTCAATCACCTGACTAACATTGTTTGCGTCCCCCCAGATCCCATGAGACTCCATTTCACCCAACTTACAGGCCACCCAAATTGTTTTTCCATATGAATGGCTGGTGTTGGCCCATGCTCCACAACTTAAATCCTCTCAAACAACCAACAGCTGACTTCAGTAAGTCCCCAACCCCCATACCTCTTGCTAAGGGGCCCCAGGCTTGGCACTAGCAGCAGCCAGCCTAGATTCACAGCTTGGTTTCACCTGGGAATCTTGAAGCCCAGCACAAGTAGCAGCCATATCAGATTACTTTATAGCTCATGTAGGATGGCCCGGGCATAACACAGTGAAGGGCTGACCTTGGCTTAAACCACCTGGGAAACCCCAGAGCCTGACCACCCAGTGAACAACTACTAACCATGTTGGAGTACCACCACCCTGCCTTTGCATAGGTGATCCTCCACAGAAGGTGGAGATTGGTGGTCAGTGGTCACAGCCAGTCCTTGCAGCTGACTGGCCTAGGTAAATCCCTCCCATTGACCTGCCAAGAATAATCAAGCCTCAACTATAAGAAGAGGTTGTACTCAGCTCACACGAAGGGCACACCTCAGGTGACAGGGGAGGCTATGCCACTGGACCCTACAGGACACCTACTACATTAGGCCACAATACGAAGACAGGAAGTCATAGTAGCTCTACCTAATATATAGACACAAACACAGGGAGGCTGCCAAAATGAGGAGACAAGTAAATATACCCCAAATTAAAGAACAGATCAAAACTCCAGAAAAAGAACTAAACAAAATGGAGATAAGCAGTCTACCATATGCAGAGCTCAAAATACTAGATTATAAGGCTGCTCAAGGAACTTAGTGAAGACCTCAACAGCATAGAAAAAATCCAGGCAGAAATGAAGGAGGTACTAATTAAAATGAAGAACAATTTACAGGGCAACAAGAATGCCCTGATGAAGCCAAGAATCAAATCAATGATTTGGAATGTAAGGAAGCAAAAACAATCAATTAGAACAAGAAGAGAAAAGAATTCAAAAAAATGAGGATACTGTAAGCAACCTCTGGGACTTCAAGTGACCCAACATTTGCATAACAGGGATGCCAGAAGAAGAGAAAGAGCAAGAAATTGGAAATGTATTAGGAAAAAAATACTGTATTTTCCTGTGTATAATGCACACTGCTTGTCCAAATTTTTGAGCAAAAATAAAGATGCACATCATACATGGATATAATGACTACATATAATGGGTATAATAAAAGGTATAACAATCCCATTATGATACGTGCAAAAATGTGGGTGAAAATTATACACAGGAGCACATTATACACAGCAAAATATGGTAATGAAAGAAACCTTCCCTAATTTGATGAAAGAAATAAACATGCAAGTCCAGGAAGCACAGAGTCCCAAACAAGATGGATGCAAAGAGGTCTACTCCAAGACACATCATAATTAAAATCCTAAAGGTTAAAAAGAGAATCTTAAAAGCAGCAAGAGAAAAGCAGTTAGTTATCTACAGGGGAGTTCCCATA